AGTCGGACAATGTCGCTGTTGCCCTTGAATGAGCTGCAGACTCTCCATCGGAAGTTGCCATAAAATGAGAAGCTGCTCTCCCATTCAAACGTGACATGATTCATCGTCTTTTGATGGCAACGTCCGCCAGGAAATTATTATGGAAATTAACAGAGGAATCGTCCAACCAAGTCTAGTGCACGAGTGAAATCTGCCTTTGGAACATGGCGTTAGTCAATCGTCATCAGGCTGGGTGCTGCTCTACGGCAACAGACTTTGAAGCTTCGTGTTCAGCTGCTCATAACATTGTTTTTCTGACTGCTTCGACATCACGAGAACTGATTTTGACGCACCCCGCAAGATTTTTTGACAGGGGTTGCGAATCGCAGGAAAATAAGTAATGTTTGCGAAAAATGTGTGCTTTTTTTATATATTGCGTAACTCCGGTGTACCGTCAATACGTTCACATGCAGGCTAATGATAGCATCCAAACTATTAAGGAGTGTAGGTGTGACTCGGGCAGGACACGTCATGGCTAGGAGAGATGATGGTCAAGAATAATAGCTGAGTGTCAGCCAAGGAAGGGAACGCATCTGAGCGGACGTCCAGCGAGCAGACAGAGTGATAAGATCAGTTCATGCGCAGGCACGAAGTAGATTGTTGCACCGCAGGATCGTGAGAGGTGGCGGACGTTTGGGGAGGCCTTCATCCAGCAGTGAATTGATAATGACTAATGATGACAATCAATTTTTTTTTATAATCCTACACAATCGGCAACACCCGGGGGTGCATACAGATTAAGATGTTTTCAGTCAAATAAAAAGTATTAATACATGGGGGAAAACCGGAGCACACACAGAATACTCCCCCCGTGTGCGCAAAGGGGCAACAGGTGGAGAAGGGTCCATATTTTGCTGTACCACCTTCACCTGAAAGGGAGTTTCGTAATATTTGTGCTATCCACCAACCCTCGCTGCCTCCAGTGCTGGATTACATGAACTCATGATATGCAAACATGTGTCAATCAAAATAATCAATTCTAACACGCATGATCCATGCATGTGTCGTGAGCATAAGAATCGATTTCATTAATGAAATGATATAGTGTTGAATACCTTAAAACTACAATCTAGAAACAAATTGTGACTCCAATATTGTAACGAACAATAACTTTGTCACCTGAAACGATTAGTTGTGCATTTCGACGTGACTTCCGTTGATTTTATAAAGAAATAATCTTTACAATAACGAATAGTAATTATAACCACCATTCGTTACTAAGTGGTGGTGTTGTCACCACGGCACTTGTGCCAGGATATGTGCACTTTAAGACCACGTGAAGTGTCGAAAGTTCGCTGGCAGGTCACGGGACAGACCCAGGTGCCATGGGTTGACTCACTGAGATGACTGGCAGATGCACCACCAGTGCCAACTTGCTGTGTTTTAGCCACCCGGTTGTTGTGAGCGTCGCTCCTCTGCCCTCCGCTGTTGTTGGAAGGCGACTGCCTCCAACTGCCCAGCAGCGTCATTCACGAGCCTCCAAAATTACAACTTCATATAATTAAGGATAGCTGATTTTCACCAATTATATTCACCTTGTTACACTATTTTCAATCAGCACTCGCCTATAATTATTAAATCAGCTCTCAGGCATGGCTGTTCTGACGACTGCAGAACACTTATTCAAGAACACAGACCAGGAAGCGCATTCACTCGAAATCTCAGCTCCGCAAACACTTGCTGATGCTGGGTGTAATCACCAGCAAAACGTCGTATAAACATAATTAAACTATACTCTTTGGTTCTTTCGGTAAAGTCACGTATATAGAAAATAAATATTAAAATAATAAGCATAGGTTTTACCCTTTCTGGCAATAAAACAGGAGGTGCTAAGATGTTCAAACACCAAATAAAAACCTTTTGCAAGGAAGCAAGTCTGCATTGACCACACGTAGTACTTGTGGTGAACATGCAAACAAATATGCTCGAATAATATATGCAGTGTCTTTGAAACTGATTGGCCTACACCAGCCTTCTTTGGTGTTTGAACATCTTAACACCTACATTTTGATTTAAAGCTTTCGTGACTGCAGGGATTCATATTCTTGGTTCTTTTGGTAAAGTCACGTAGAAGGGAAACAATAAAATAATAAAAATATAAAACAATACAATTCTCACGACGTTTCGACTGCAACACAAGCAATCATCATCAGGTGTGAAACCCACAGCAAGAATTTTTTTAAAAAGTGGCGATTTTTTTTAACGTTAGCACCACGGAGAGCGATTTGGCAGTTATTCAGATGGTCGAGTCCATCTATGTTCGGAAAAGAGGAGGGGGGAGACAAAAATAATGGATGCGGTCTGAAAGCCACCGTAAGCGTAAACAATCAATTAAGACCCGAAATGGTTTATTAAATCCTTCCAATAATTGCTAATCCAGAATCCATCTTCTCGGTTGAAATTGTCTCTGTGTTTGTATATGTGGATAGCCTCATGAACGAATCTCTCATGGTAGCCAGATGGCTTGCAAAGAACCTCTGTCTTGGAGAAGTCAATGTCATGTGAGCCTACTCAATTATAACAGTGATCTGCCACAGCCAAGGTGTTAGCCCTACCGTGTTTTAGGTCTGCTTTGTGTTCACGAATGCGGTCCGAGACATGTCCTTTGGTTTCTTCAATGTAACTACTACCACAGAGGCAACTTAGTTTACATAAAATCCGTGATCTGGTTCCGTCTGTAAAAGATGTGATTCCGGACATACAGTACCCTGGCGTCTACAAACTAAGTTATATCTTAACACCTGTTTTATTGCCAGAAAGGGTAAAACCTATTCTTATTTTTTATACTTTGTTACTGGAAAAAATGTCCCAAGATTATTCAAGTTTGCTTGCTTTTCAACATATAGTAATCGGTTTGCTGAAAAAGAAAATCGATTAGCTCGTTTGTCCACGTGATAACTTCAATTGTTTGTGTGTGTCGGCTTGTGGAGGGTGCATGGCTCTGACATTATACTTACATGATCAAACTGAAAAAAATACTAAATTCAGAGTCAGCACGTCCAGCAACCGAGCCATCACTTCCAGCTGAGCTGTACAAATTAGGTTAAACCTTTCGAAAATCGATGCTCAAGAATGCAATAAATCACTTCCTCAAATCGTTTTTCGTAACGTTTTCATTTTAAACTGTCCAAAGAGTACCCTCAAAAACTGGAAGTAAACCCGTCTCATCTGGCCAAGAGCGGTCAGTGACCTGGAAGGGCACGCTACAAATACCACACAAAACCTTACCCAAAGCAACCCTCACTGCCGGTGGGTCGCAGATTTATCGAACTCCCATATCCACTGGACCTCAGGGCGGCTAGTTGGCTGTACGGCCAAGGGGATAATGAACCCCTCTGTGCGGCCCTTAAGGAGTGGGTTTCCTTGCCCACACAAAGCACTCAGCGCGACAGAGATGACCTCTTGCTCATCAAGGGAGAGAGATTTGCAGTTTTAATACAAAGTGTCCACACGTCCCAATGCTGGCGGCCTACAGCCTTGACTCAGGGAAGGTGCCCGAGGTTAATGACATTCGTGAAAGGCCTCTTCATCGCATTCATTCAGTTACATTATAATTTTGATTGACGCCGGAGTTACTAAATGAGCCCACATCCCATTGGCGGGGGCACTGGTTGTGGTTGAGAGTTCTCATCCTGTAAATCTGCAAAGATGTTCCACGGATTACCACAAAGGAAATAACTTGGTGGAGGTGGTGGTGGCGGCGGTTCGTATTGTCTGTGAGAATGACGAGTTGAACCAAGCACACACGAGAAGCACCTCCACGTGAATTCCCCTTGCGCCAGGCGCCGTTCACAGGCAGACTAAAACTACAAACATGACGACGAGAATTACCATCATTGTTAAACCGTCATCTTATCTGTGCCACGCAACTCCCCTCTCTCTCTTCTCTCTGACCGTGGTTAACTCAGAGGGAGTCACGGCAAACTATCCCCCGTGACTGCTCAACATCATCAGCAAGGACACGCGGAGGAGGAGAAGAGGCGACCCGCGGCTGGCAGGAGTCTCGGACTCATTCGGAGCCCTTGGCCAATGCGAGCAGCCGTAGCGGCGCGGAAAACAACGGGCGGTGGTGCCTCGGGCACGGCTTGGCGAGACGAGAACCCGCAGGGATTTAGAAGAGCCTCGTCACGGCCGGGAGGCCTCGTCACGACGACAGCGGCGGTGTCACGGAGTAACGCGGGCGAGTAACGCGGTGGGAGGGGGGTAACGAGGTCGAGCCACGGAGTAACGCGGTCTGCCACTTGTACTGTACTCCACTTGGGGGGGGGGGGGCATTGAGCTTCAGAGGCGCTTATTCAATGGCCACCGGCCCGGAGCGGTGGAGTGACGAGAAATGCAAAAGTCGAGTAACGTGGAGCCCCCCAGAGTAACGTGGAGCCCCCCAGAGTAACGTGAAGCCCCCCAGAGTAACGTGGAGCCCCCCAGAGTAACGTGGAGCCCCCCAGAGTAACGTGGAGCCCCGGCAGAGCAACGCGCTTGAGTGACGAGTCACGCGGTGGAGTGACGGGGGGGGGAGCCGCGAACCACTTCCTCCTGGGGGGCCCTACGGCCTCTCCCCTAGAACACTCCCCCCCACCGTGACCCCCCCACCGTGACCCCACCCCCTTGACCCCACCCCCTCGACTCCCCCGTGACCCCCCCGTGACCCCACCCCCTTGACCCCACCCCCTCGACTCCCCCGTGACCCCCCCGTGACCCCACCCCCTTGACCCCACCCCCTCGACTCCCCCGTGACCTCCCCCTGACCCCTCTCCCCCAGGCCCCCCCCCTCTCCTCCCCCGAGTTCTGGAAGATGCCGCCACTCTGTGACAGAGCAGCGGGGCGCGCGCGCGTCAGTCGCGCAGCCCTCGCGGTCACCGACTCGTCTCTTCGCCTCCTCCCCTCGTGCGCGTCTCCCCCTTGCTCTCCCTCACCTCCTCACCTCACCACCTCCTCACCTCCTCACCACCTCACCTCCTCACCTCGTCTCACGCCACCACACCACCTGCCTCCTCCTCACCACGACCCGGTTCTTCTCACCCGAGATCCGGTTCCTGGGCACCACGTGACCCTCGCCATGAGCGCCCCCCCACCGGAAACTGCGCCCCCCCACCGGAAGCTGCCCCCCCCTTCGCCCCCATCCCACGTGACCCCGCGCGGCTCCACGTGCTGCACGAATGGGGCTCTGCTGGACGTCGTTGGTCCGTCCGCGTGTCCTGGTGAGGGTTGTGGCGGCAGCGTTGTTGAATCGGGCGGTGCAGACCTCCCCCCTTTCCCTGGCGATGGACTCCAGCTCTTCCTGGGGAATTCCCAGGCCAGCCCAGCTTCACGTCGTGTTTAGTCTCGAGACTAAACTAAAAAAACTCAACTATATTTGACTTGACCGCTTAAAGCCCACTGAGCTTTGTAGCTATTTTTCAGAAGCGACCTGGCTATCACAAATGATAACGAAGTGGCTTATCACGTGGAAATTTACAGCAGATGTAAATGTACAGCAGCCACAATGCTGCAGCACAAACTCTAAACGCGTGACGTTGGTTCTAAATGTGGAGGGGGAAACCAGAGGACCCGGAGAAAAAATCCGCGCGACCACGGGGAGAGAGAGACACGCGAACTCCAGATACACAGCAGCAGCAGGCGTCAGGGTCGGGATCGAACCGACGCGCTCCTGCACACCAGGCGAGGTAGTGAACATCTCCTAGCCAACGTGGCCCACGCCAGGTGAACTCGAAAGTCAAATTTTGTCTCGTCTAAAATTTTAATTTCAAAGTGTAAAATTAACAAGGGAGAGCAAGCGCGAGTCTGCCAGTAGGGGGCGGTGATTGTTTAACCAAGGGAGGGTTCTTCAGTTTCAGTTTTTTTCAGTTTATTTTGGTATAGCCCTGTGAGCCATTCGACTCTTGAATCGGGTGCAACCACAACAAACAAAAAAAACACGAACCAGAAAAACATCTTAAAGTGACTGTGTGACTGTGCAAACAGAAAATCCATGACGAAAAAAACGGCAAAATATTCCTGAAAAAAGCACCGTTCACCAACGCTGTGTGCAAAAAATCCCAGTGGGATGCAAGTCAAACAACAACAACCACAAAAACTTAGATTAAGGCCATCAGTCTAACTCCGTCTCATTGCCAAGAGTAAAGGAGACATTGCTGTGTGTTGAATACCTGTTAACCCACGTGGTTTACCCCGTATTCTTGTGCAGGGAAATTGAGTTTTCAGCTCCATACGGCGCACAGCCGTTTCAATACGGGCACATGTTTTTGTCTATTTGCGTTCCTTGTGATGGGACGAGCGTTGATATTTAAAATGGCACGGGGTGACCAATACGGTCTGAATTTGTCTGCAATAAGGTAGGGCACTGATAAGTGGTTGACAATAAGGTAGGGCACTGATAAGTGGTTGACAATAAGGTAGGGCACTGATAAGTGGTTGACAATAAGGTAGGGCACTGATAAGTGGTTGACAATAAGGTAGGGCACTGATAAGTGGTTGACAGTAAGGTAGGGCACTGATAAGTGGTTGACAATAAGGTAGGGCACTGATAAGTGGTTGACAGTAAGGTAGGGCACTGATAAGTGGTTGACAATAAGGTAGGGCACTGATAAGTGGTTGACAATAAGGTAGGGCACTGATAAGTGGTTGACAATAAGGTAGGGCACTGATAAGTGGTTGACAATAAGGTAGGACACTGATAAGTGGTTGACAGTAAGGTAGGGCACTGATAAGTGGTTGACAGTAAGGTAGGGCACTGATAAGTGGTTGACAATAAGGTAGGGCACTGATAAGTGGTTGACAATAAGGTAGGGCACTGATAAGTGGTTGACAGGAATGGTGTCGCCTCCTCTCCGCTTAACTCCCCACGACTCTCCGCATGTCCGGTGGCACTAGTCCAGCGAGGATGTTCCGAGCTCTTGACTTTGTGGGTTTTGAGACACCCTTTGATAATGCGGCAGGGTATCATAATCGGAATATTTATTCACACTGGAGGAATCCGAAGCGCTATAAAGCTCTTTTTCGCAGGTGTCCGGAAGGGGCAGGTCAGAGCGTTTGTTATCCTTGCGCGGACCGATGGTTCCCAGACGGGAGCAGCGTGGGCCGAATGCCCAGGTCTTGGTTGTGGCTGCGCGCGCTCCACGTGTTCAGTTTGCAAGCTTGCGGATGATTTTGCGGGATCTGACTTCAACTCTCGTCTTCTCAATGTGGCTGTCATGGGTAAACCATTGAGCAAATTGAGTAGAATAATGCATTAGTTACATTACGGTTTTTGTATATGGGGCCGTCCATAAATGACGTCACGCGATTTTGGACAATTTTTTACACCCCCCCCCCCGTCACACGGCCTCACAAAGTCAGACCCCCCCCTCAAATATGACGTCACAAAGCTCTGCCCCCCCCCCCAAAAAAACATGCTTCAAATCGCTTTAAACTATTGTCATTGTTGTACGTATTTAATGTGGCGCTGCACTCTGATGTTGTAGGAGAAAACATTGAAAAGTCAATTTAATCAAGTAGAACGTGTTGCTATATTTATTTAAAGTTGCGCATTTTGATGTGACATCATACTTCTCACCCACCCCCCCCTCGTCACACATCGTCACAAATGTCTGACCCCCCCCCCCCCTCTAGGTGCGTGACGTCATTTATGGACGGCCGCTATTTGGCTGCTATAAATGTCCACGTGATAAGCCACTTCGTTTGGAATATCATTTGTGGACAGGTCGCTTCTGAATAAACTAATTTAAAAAAAGTTTTTTTTAAAACAACGGTTTTATAAACAACTTCGTTTAACTCACGGTCGAGACGCACGTCAATGGCGCCTGAGACACGTGGCGCATGCTTCTTGGGCGAGGCGATTCGAGAGTTTAGGGACCGCGGCGTTTTTACTTGCACAAATATATATATAAATAATGCGTACGTACAAAATGTTAATTGCTTCAAAGTAGCGAATTGATGAAGTAATGCCAATTTTGATACAGGCATGCATTGTCACCGGATCTGAGTACGTGTGCAACATTTGGCATTGATTTGACAACAGGAAGTAGACTAAACTTTGATTACAATATTTGACCACGACACCGGAATCAAGTGAAGTAAAATCGTTGAAAAAAGAGCTGTATAGCTGAGTGGTGGGCCTTAGCTGGTAAAATAACAAAAAATAGTTTCGTGTGGTTCACGTCGGCCGAGCGCAATCGCTCACTCCATTGGAAAGCCGCCCCGTCACGCACCAGCTGAACGCCGTCACAAGGCGAACAGCCGCCACTGAACGTAGAGTGGAAGGCAGTGGAAAAGAACAAGTCGCAAGAAGCAGTAACACAGCTGTAATAAGTTGAGAAGCTGAAATAATACAGCAGTGGAGCCGTTTAAAAGAAGATCTGAAAGATGCGCCGTTGTTGAACGTGTGAAAGAATCGTTGGAGAATAAGTGGAGATGAGTAGGAATCAAGCAGAAAGTCCGCAGAGGAACTGTGCCAATCAGGCTATCAGCCGTAACCAACACGAGCTAAAGAGTGACCTCGTAACTACAAGTGCGTGGACTATCATTACGGTGAAGCTATACCTGTCCAAGCCATGCGGTTTACTCGTATTCTTGTCCAGGGAAATTGAGTTTTCAGATCCGTACGGCGTACAGCCGTTTCAATAAAGCAAAAAAAAGTGTCTTTATTTGTGTTTCTCCTTTGTGATGGGACTTTGTAGGATGAACGTTGAGGTTTATAAGGGCACGGGTGACCAATAAGGTCTGAATTGGTCTGTGATAACGCAGGCACTGATAAGTGGTTGACAGGTACTTGAAGATATATGCCCAGCTGTCACCTGACGGTGACAGAGTGCCGTCTACACCCACGAGGAGTCCGCGTCTGCACTTCGCCAGAGTTCGGCGCTGGTAGCGCCGCTGCTGCGCTGTCATTCACGGACCGCGACTGCGTCATCACCATAACGGGGCCGTCGTTTGTCAAGCTGACAGCTGCCACTGCTGGCATGCGGCGATGTCGCTGCGGAATCGAACACCGAAAGCAGGAACATACTTGCTTTAATTCTGTTTCCGTGTGTGGATTACCAGTGTGGGTTTCTGTGGCTAACAGTGTCGTATGCTGCTGCTGATAAGTCGACAAAGGCGATGCCAGTGATTTGGATGTTCTCAAAACCGTCTTCTATGTGTAGTGGTTCGATAGAGGCGCACCCACTCTCGTAGGGAGGCAACACTATTTATTAACACAACTCTAATTACACTACACATAGGGTGGTGATCACCGACATGCGGCCAAGCCAGGAGGGCTACTGCTTGGCCACGACTTGAGGCTTCTGTCTTCACTCTCCACGAGGCGTCTTCATCCCGGACCCTAGCCGCCCCACTCTGCGTGCAGAGCCCGCTTATATGCGCCTCGGCGTGGCCAAGCCACATCCAGGCCACGCCCACCTTCTCGAACCCTCGAGGAGGCTCTGCTCCCAGCCACGTGACCCTCAAGGTCCCCCACCTTGATCCGGTCACGTGTCCGGCCGGGTTCATACAGGTACAGAGTGCCACGGCCTCACACAACTCCTCCCGTGGCACTGACCGACAGCCTCCAGACTCCCCGAACCGGCCGTGACGTCATTCCCACATACACGCGTAGTGACATCATGTGTGTGTACAGACTCACACGGTAGTGACGTAACAAGCCACAACATGTACTGGGTGAGGTTTAGCACCTGGCCAGTGCGTGACCTGCCCGGCTGGAAACCGGCTTGGTCTAGAACACGTTGTTCCTCCTTCAGGATAGGTGACAGCCGGTACAGGATGCGTCTCTCATAAAGTCCGCAAAAGTGGCAGAGGAGGGGAATTAGTCGGAAACTCTTGGGGTCAGATGGGTCTCTTCCTGGCTTCGTAAGTGCGACAACGCACGTTTTACCCCAAGTCCTGGGTGTGCAGTTCATCACCGCACAGGAATTGAATATTCTCAGAAAACAGTCCCTTGTTGTTGGTCCATCGTTCTTTATCTTTTCAGAGCAGATGTCAATGCCTGCTCACTTGCCAGCCTTCATCCCCTTGATGACATTTTCCATTTTGCCCATTGTGAACTGGCCACTCTACGAACTTGGTGGCCAGTTCACAATTGCC